TTCCCATATCAATCTGGGCACTACTTTAGGATATCAGGATATCAGGATATTAGGATATCAGGAAAGATATGCCTGAGAAGTTATCATCTCACCTGCTGGCCCCACCAACTTCAGAGGCTCACTGCGATGTGACCAGATGGTAGGGTGTTCCTCAATACGATAGCTGCAACTGTAGGTCCCTGTGCCTTGCCCTTCAATATTAGTGATGATGAAGTCTCCATCTACTGATAATTTTTGGAATGTTGTTCTTTCTTCCCATTCCAAAGAAAATTCAAGTACTGGATGCGATACTCGGCACTGAAGGGTGATGGTCTTTCCTACTTTGAACACGGAACTGGGCCAAGCTGAAAGGGAGGGTTTGGGGGGCTTATCTGAAACCAATCCAGAGACCACAATTAGAAGTGACATTGAGCTCAGCACCCTCTCTCCTGCCAGATGTTTTTGAGAGGTCTCCATTTGGGCTTCTCTCTCTCGCTCTCTCTCTTTGCACTTACATTTGATCATTGGCATCAAGCCTTGTATGTTTAGAGTTCTTCCCCCCTCTCCTTGGTTCTCTAAAGACTACTGGTTCCTACTTCCAACCAGGAAGACCTCATACCTGTAAGATCTCCCTGGCATGAAGGAAAATAATTTTTTTCATGAGTCACAGTAGGGCTGGGTCATGCTGAGAGGTAAGGCTTAAGGTGAACCCTGGAAGAGAAGATCCCTGAAGGATGTAAAAAGTCCTGTACTACCCTCCTAGTGTTTTCCTTTTAGATCATAACTTTAGGAATTTCCAAGAGCCACTAGGACCCCCCCCCCCTTAGAGCATGGCAATAACAGCAATACAAGCAAACAAGTGACAATAACATTAAAGCCAGTTGGGATCACTTGCCTACAACCATCAGCTCCACAGTGTTGTGTGTTGCCATCTTAATGGATGTGTTCCAGGTAAGAAAATACTGGCAACTATAGATGCCAGCATCTTTGTAGGTCACATTCTTGAGGAAGAATGATTTGTTGCCAGTGTTGCTGGTGGCATCCAGAAATTGAAGGGGGCTTCCTTCTCCCTTCTTATAGAGTGCAAGCCCCACTCCGTCCATTGGTCCTTGACATCTCAGGCTTATATTTTGACCCATTTGAACCACAGGACTGGGCTGAACAAGTAGCCAGGTCTTGGGGAAAGCATCTAGGACAAGACCCAAAATATAAATAGCTAATGGTAGAATTTTCCCCTCCTTCCAATACTTAGGACTAATTTCCTCCTTTGTCTTCCAGGTTGCACTTTGAAAATCCCTCACTAAAGTGAACAGATTCTGCACCTTCCCCCCCCCACTGTTAGCCCTGGCCAAGTGACTAGGTCCAAGTGGGGAGAGAGAATCAGAGGAAACTCTGAGAGCTGTTCCATAGCATACCCCTGTCTTACCAGTCACCCAGACTTTCAGGATATCACTAAGAAGTGAGCCTCTGTATGATGCATCATAGTAAAAACAGATATAGTGCCCTGTATCCTGGATCTTCAGAGCTCGGAAGTAGAAATATGCCTCATTTTTTATTGGTTTCTTGTGGTAAAAAGATTTCTTCAAGTCTTCCAACCTCATTAAAGTAAACGTCACTCCGTATATTGGCCCTTGGCACCTGAGACTCAGGCTTTCTCCGGGTGCCAGGATGGGCCCAGGATGGGCTGTCAGAGTTGGTTTGGGGTAGAGACCTAGAAAGGGAAGAGACCCTTAACTTACAGTTTAGCCAATTCTGCCTAAGTATATTTTTATTCTCCTAGTTTCTTCAGAAAAAAAAAAGTGGTAACTGGAATGTAATCTTCCATCCTTCTCTTTCCTTAGGATTATGCCTCCTTGTGTATGTAATCAAGGTTAAGTTCACTTATAGTTTTTTCCTCTCATCTGACTCTATTAGAGCCACTGTGAGCTCAGCCAGGTATAGGTGCTTGCCCCAGGGGACTGTCTCCATTCATAATACCCTGCATCTTTGGGTCTCTGAAATGACAAATATAGTTCTTCCCATAGACAGAAAATCCACACCTCTGAAAATGACTTTGATTCCATCTTGTAGAACAAAACTTCCGCTGAAATATTAATGAGAACATCTGAACAGATTAGCCTCACCTTAAGATACTACTTCCAACACTCAAAACATGAGGCTAGAGGAGGCCAATAGGGAGATTTGGGACAATAACTCAGTAAGCCAATGAGATCTGGTAATGAGGCTCACCCTCATTTCTGTGGGTTGCTTTACTAAGATGGCTGTACTATTAAACATCAACTTTATGCAACTCCATCTTATTCCCCACTTAAATCCCAGGTACACCAATTCATCCACTGTGGAAGGATTAGCCTTGCCATATACTTATGGAAGCTTTTTGGATGTGTCATGAATCATGCTGGTCTAGGGGTATTGAGTACAAAGAATGTTAAGTTCCTGCAAGCCTAACATTAATAGACAGGTGGGGAATACTGGTGAACACTAGTTACAGAAGTATGTATCAGTGGGATCTATTTTGGAAGGGAATGTGTACAACAAGCATCCATATACATCAGTTAAACAGTCTTTTGTATCTTGATCCTCAAGAAAAATCTATATTAATAAAATTATCTTCCATTTATTGAGAACTTATATGCCAGGCACTGTACATGTTATTTACGCAAACCCTCACAACAACCCTGTGAGGTAGGCATTATTATTATACTATTTTTGCAGATCATGAAATTGAAGCACAGAGTGGCATTATACAACATATTGGACAGATACTGTTATCCTGTGTTAGAATGGAGAAAACCAAAGCACAGAGAAGTGACAAGACTTGCTCAACACCACACCGGGAAGTGGTGTCACAGGTGTAACTAGAAAATCTGTAACATCAGTATTTCTCTGGGTCTATATTGTTTGCTGCAGGAATTACATAAATGTAGACTATTTCGTCTGGAATCATCCAGGGCACAAGATAGAGGAATTGAAGCTATAGTGTGTGACTAGTATTTGGACCTCTGGAGGTGTTGCCTTTTGTGTTTGGAGCTTGGTACTGCCTTTACTGGCTCTATTGATATGGAATAAAGTAATCTTTCAAGCCATTTCTAAAATACAAACTATCACTTTTTGTCATTTGTTTATTTTTCATTAATTAAAATAATGATTAATTCTGTTTTATACACTTAAATATAATCATTACAAATACACTTACATGTTTAAGGAATCAATTTGAAGACTGTACTGGCAATGCCTGGCACATATTAGGTGCTCAATAAATATTGGATGAATGAGTAAATGAATGATAACCTACAAGTAAAGAACAATAAACCTGTGAAAAGACCAAGCTGCTGATAGCTGGCTAGGCTCACAGACAGGTCACAGGGTTACCTTCTTTAAAGTACATGTGATTCTAATTTGGAGCTCAGAAAAATGTTAAATGACTACATCAACTTGCAGGGCTTAGTAACTGGCTGAGGCAGTAATCTCAAAAACTTTTTGATCAACTAGCCATGATACCAGGGATAACAATTGTCAGATACCAGCAGCCATGGCCACACCCACCTGCCACCACCAGCTTCAGGGGGTTGCTGGGCTCTGACCACAGATTGGGGAGCATCTGGATATGAGTGCGGCAGATATAAACCCCTTCATTCTCAGGTGCCAAGTTGTCAATGGAGAATATGGCCATTGTCCCAGTTGGGACTTGGTAATCTACAGGATCTGTATTTCCCTCTTTAAACAGCATAAATACCAAATCCTGAAGCCATCCATGGCAAAGGATGTTAACATTACATCCAGGAAGAGGGGGAGTCTCTGCCTGGATCCAGAAGATGGGTTTAGGAAGTTGGCCTGTAAAGGAAGAATGAACTGATGTGAGTTAGATCAAGAAGAGTGCTGCCTTGACTGCAGAATAGGAGACTTTGGCTTTAGATGAGCCTTCCCAGAGCAACTCTTCTTTTCCCCATCCTTCAAGAGCTGCATCCTCTCCATGCATTGCCTGATACAAAGTAGGCACTTAGGTGCTTCATGCATGCATGTGAAGTAACTTCAACAAACCCTTTTCTGGGATGGTTATTTTGAGTTCCAAGAGTAGGAAGGTATTCTTGAGTATCTAGCTTCGTCATCTTACCTGGTGCTTCTAACTCTAGAATTCTACTGGGCTTTGACCAGCCTTTCTCCTTCCAGTAGCAGCACCGATAAAGACCTGTATTGGACTCAGTAAGGGCACCTATGAAGAATGAAACTTGGAAGGTCTTGTAAGAAGGACGGATCCAGGTCATCTGTGTATTATCCTTAAGCAGTAGGAACTTGCTGGATACTCGAGAGGGGCTTCTGCACCAAAGTGTGATGTTCTCCCAAGGGGCATGGGGGTAGTTGGATTCTATCCAAAGCTCTGGTTGAGACTCCACTGCTGTTATTTCCCAAAGCCACAAAGATAGCAGCAGTCAGTCCTCTCCCTCCCTCAAAGCGCCCTGCAGCATGCTGGAACATTGTCTCTAACCCACCCAGATGTTGACTTTTGCCTTCCTGTGGGAGTGGCAGAGTCTGCTCATGTAAGGGTTGGGGACAGAGATGCTAGGGTATTTGTTTAAGGAATCCTAATGGACAGGGGAATAAGTTGCATTCTAAAGAGAGATAAATCCCTTCACGGTTCTTGGGAGAGCAAGTTATGATGGAAGGGGCTCTGATTTCCAAGCAACCCAACCTGGCTTGTATATCTTAAGGCCTTGCAGACAGGCCAGTTCCTTAGAATCTCAGGCAGCAAGACACTTACCCATTGAGGTCATACCCAGACTGAGCCCTGGAAAGAGAAAATGATAAAGGAGACACTCTGGTTTCGACGTTGCCCTCCAACCTCAATAATTTCCCCTGCCTACCTAAGGAGCCTGCTCACAAGAGCTTCTCTTAAGAGGGCCACTTGCTTCTCACCCCTTCCTTGTACTTACAAATGCAACAGAGCAATAGAGTGATGGTCCGAAGCATCATGGCCCCCTGCTCTGGCCTGTCCAGGGCTGTGGGGCCTCTGGTGCAGGATGTGTCCTCTGAGTCTTGAAGGCTTTGTTTCTTAGAAGACAGGAGAATCTAAAAGAAGAAATTGTCTTGCTCAGGGACTAGTTCTGCTCTTTCAAGCTGAGGCGAGATTACTGCATTACTCTGGACAACCTCACATTGCACTGGTTCCTAGGAGCCTAGCTTGTTAATGAGGCCACTTGTTTTCCTCGCCTTGATCCCTTTCTTCACTTCCCCACCTCTCCACTCTGTTCCTGGGATCCAAGACATTATTTTTGTTGAAATGTTTATTTGTCCCTGAGATTTCAAAGGCACAGAAGATGACCTCAATCTAGCCTGAAGTATCCCTACTGAGTGGGGAAAGTGGACCATGCTAAGGCTTGCCTTTTAATGTGTTTTAATTAGATACCTGCCTGCACACATGCACGCATATCACACACACACACACACACACACACACACACACACACACACACACGGCTTTGTCATCCAACAACATAGTAAAGAAGGAATTATTGCTGCCCCCATTTTCTTGCGCACATGGAGTTTAGAAAAGATCCATAATTTGCTGAAAGTCAAAATACAAAATAAAAATTAAAGTCCATGTTTAACTCCAAGACTGACATTCAACTGTGCAGAGGCAGTACCTGCCTTCAACCCATCTTCCTCTTCCATCATTTCCCCCATGTCAACACAAAGAATGCTCCTTCTAAGGAGTGCTTGTCACTTTACCCCACTTGTAATACCCTACTTTGAGTAGGTGTTGGTTAATCCAGCTGCCTCCAAGGTAGTTAATAAAAGTGTAAATTATCCCTTTCTAGAACTTTCCCTTAGCTTCTAAACTGCTTTGTTCACTGCCTCTGAAGAAAATGAGATTGTTTGAATTTTAAGGAACTCAGCAAAGATATTTGAGTTCAGAGAGTCTTCTCATTTTCCCAGAAGTCTCTACCAACCATATGTGTACCGTATAGATGAGATAGATCTTCTCCCCTCATGTTGAAAAGCAAACTTTTGCCAAGGGAAGGTGTAACCTCACAGCACCAACTTAGTGGAATTCTCCTCCATGACATCTCTCCTCATAGGATGAACCCCTGCCTGACCTCTGTTGTTTGACCTTAGCTCAGTGGAGTGAGGAATAGTCAGCTCCCACAAGAAAGGAAGAGAATGAATTTGTTTCTCGAAACTTCCTGTAGACTGATAGCCTCTAATATTCTCTAGCACTTTCAGTGAACAAAATGGAGGAGCACAGAGATACATTTTCAAAACACCCATGTGGGAGTCAACAAAATGACATTGAGAGATAGAAGAGCTTGGCCCTGGTTTTCATTTCTCTGTGTTGAAGGATGCTTAATTTACTGGCCTGAACTTTTCTTATGTTAAATGGGGGAAATAATATGTACCTAGCCCTGTTGTTTTGGACTACAGGAAACCTGTATATAGTGCCAGACGTGCTGTGTACATTTCATGTAAACAGGCATATTTTGTCTCATTCTCAAAGAGGGGTATACATTTGGTATAGGACTCTAATGAGACTCTTCCTATCTCAATAGCTAGAACCTCTTGTCCCTAGTTTTTTCAGTGCCAGGCCGAAGCATGGATACCACCCTGTTGCACTGTTTCCCCTTGGGGCACTGGGCCAGAATCTAGTGGCGGGGGTGGGGGGGAGAGGAAGCTAGGTTCTTCGCCAAGGGGAGTGTTCAATCTGGGACTGCACCCAGGAAATGCCATCTGAGAATCTAACCTTATCACATGAACATCAGGGTCTTGCCTCTTGGTAATTGGTGTCAGAAAAGCTGAATTTTTCAGCATGGCTGCCCACTCCTCAATCATTTGGAGATTTAAAAAAAAGAAGAAGGAGGAGAAAAAACAAAAAAGGTACCTTGTCACTTCAGCCAAGATGATAATTCTTATGCCCAAGGAACTTGGGAACAACCCTGAGATTCAAAATTGGCCACGCCCATTTTGCCCTTTCACCCCACCCCCAACTTAGGCAGTTGAGGCTGTTTATTAGTGTCCCCCTGTACTCTACCCCAAGCACTTTCTCCACCATTAGGCAGCACCGCAGTGCTTTCGAGGGTGGTATATCCGTAATATCTAACGGCTAGTCCCTTCATAGCTTTAAGGGCTCCAGAAATCAAAGGGGTTGGGCTCCGCAGGGTGCCGGTACGAGCTTTGCTTAAGGTTTGGAGTGAAGACTGAGAAAGGAAAGAGGAGATATCCACATTGCCCAGACGTTCTCATCGAGGCGGGGCTGGAATCGGGGGAGAGAAGGAGAAAGGCAGGGATGAAGGGGTTGGGGAAAAGACTGGGGAGCAGTTTGATATACGGCAATTAATCACAGCAGGGGGACTCTTTCGGGTTTTATTTAGGGTTTTGTGGCCAGTAATTAATCTTCAGCCACTGCACTATGCGCTCATTTGCAGGTACTTACGGTAGTTGAAGGCCCGCTCCGAGGCTGGAGATTCTCCAGAGAGCTCCTCCAGATGCAGCAAACTGCCCGGCATGGGAAGAGCTGTCTAAGGACTGCCTCTTGGGCCCCGAGCCCCGCCTCCTCGGCCCAACCCTCCCGCCATCCCGCCCCAGCCTCCTCCCCTCCCTCGCTAGGCTCCCCAACCCACCTACACCAACTCTGCCTAGCACCTGCAGTCCTCTGACGACCAGGATTGGAAAGCCCCTCCCAGCTCCCCGCCTCTCTGCCTACTCCCTGCTGAGGTTGCCAGAGCTGGAGTCAGGCCCCTGCCCCCTGCCTGTCGCTCAGAGCTTCATCTGGTCACTGTATCCTGGAGGGGAGAGGGCCAGTGCCCAAGACAGCTGAAGCTGTAGATCCACCTCACCAGCTCCCTGGTGCTTTTAAAGCGTTCTCGGGGCTTCCTCTGTCCCTTAAATGCAGTCATAAATGTCTACACAACATTTGAAACGCCTACTGTGTGCACTTTTGGCCCTGGCCCTGGCATTTCTAACCTTCACAGCAATAAGTAATATTACTGATGAGGAAACTGGCACTTTTGGCGGGTTAGGAACTTGGACAGTCTTCAAAGTCCAGTTTTCGATAAAAGCCCAGCTTGAAAGACATTCACTTTCAGATTTCAGTTCAGATTTCCACATTTAATAGCTGTATGAGTGACCCCAAGCAAGTGAGTTAAATTCTCTGAGGCCCACTTCCACTGTGTTTTAAGTTAAATAGAAGAGCCTGCTTTGTGGGGCTTTAATAGGTAACTCAAGTAAATCTCAAAGGGCCACACACCTGGCACACACTAAATTCTCAACTAGTGCTATGTGTGGTCATTACTACTGTTGGTACTCTGCAAAACCCTCCTTAAATGCCTTAGGGCAGTGTGGCTTTGAGGATATAGAGCAGTGTTTTGAAAATTTTATTGACTATAAAAGTTTTATTAAACTTTATTTTGTGTGTGAATGAATGAATGAGAGACCAAAATGGAGAGCTACCATGGTATGGTACTTGTCACAGAACTTTTGTGGAGGCTGGGGGATTTCAGGAGTCTGTTTGCAACTTCCAAATTGTTGAAGCAGGCTCTTTATTTTTGTTTCCATCACAGCACAGCTTGTTCCAGACCAGCTAGCATTCAAGCTTCTGGACGATTCTCCTATTCCCACCTCCCATCTCACTGTAGGAGTACTAGAAATACAAACTTATACCACCCATATAGGTTTTAATATGGGTTCTGGGAACTGTAGTCAAGTCATTAGACTTATGCAGAAATTTTACCCACCGAGCCATCTATGTGGCCCTCCTGAAGGGCTTTTTAAAAAATGATAATGTATTGTAAGACACTATTGATGGGAGATGCCATTCTGTATATATGTTTCTCATACCGGTTAGTGAATAAAACACTGTTGGCCAATAGGAAAGCAAGATAGGAGGGTAAGACCATGTGGAAATACATAGAAATGGGTTAATAATTAAGACAGAGCTAGCCAATAAGAAACTAGTACCTGGCCAACAGCATTATATCTAATACAGAGTCTTGGTGTGTTAATTGGGGCTGGCGCGGTGGTGGACCAAGACCAGCAGCCAGTGGAAAAACCTTACTCCTTACACACTATAGCTGTTGACATATTATATGTAACAAGATTAAAGTATGACAGCCAATGAGCTCACTGAACAATTGATAAGAAATAGCCAATGTTTCCTTCATGTGCATTTTACCTTAGTAAGATATGTCAGATGATCTAATGGAAATCAGTTTAATTCAAAAACAAACTATGAGGGAAATAAAAAGTTAATGAAGCCATTTGAATAACATAGCTTTGGCAGCAGGTGATAACAGTTGCAGGTTCTTAGATCCTATTGGGCATTTCAAACTGTATTTTGTTGTAGAATGATTAGCCATATAAATATGAATTTCTAGACACATTATTTAACCTCTCTGATCACCATTTTTCTTATTTGAAAGGTGGAGATAATAATCAAACTGACTCCCGTATAAGATTTTGTGTAGGACTGAATACTCACCCCTGTGAAACCATACCTAGGCATAGGGACAAAGCAAGCAGCCTTGAATTGGATAGGTGCTTGCTAAATAGGTCTTTGTGACGATCCAGAAAGAGGTTCCTCTTAAAGAGTCTGTAGCCTAGACATAACTCATGATAGGGAGTGAGTAGGAAGTGACAGAGAAGTGTTGAGAATCTGAGTGCATCACAACTGAGAAGAGCAGCAATGGGGGCATGCTAGGGGTGCTCTGAGAAGTGCAAGTAGGGGGCTCTTACTTTGTGCCTCAACTAGGGAACTTTTGCAGGGAAGATAAAGAACAAGGGTTTTGAACAGTTGAAGAGAAAAAAAAATGGACAAATAATGTGTTATTTGGAGCATGGTAATTATCATTATGATCTGTGAGACTGGAAGCACCATATTAATACTTTTTGGCTATCATAATCCTTGACTGGCTTGGAAGTCACTGTGTAGACTATTTTGGCCTGGAAATCACAGTGATCTGAGCCCTTCTGCCTCACAAGTGCTGAAATTAAAAAGCCTGAGCCAACCACACCCAGCACTACCATATACAGTTTTCAAATACTATGATAGCACTGGACACTGAGTGCATCTGTTTTAATTCATTTAATTCCCACAAGGAATTAACTGTCATTAACAACCCCATTTTGGAAACTGGAAACACAGATATTAAGCAAACAGCTTAAAATTCAGTACCAGAGCCAGAATTCAAAGTAAGGCAGACTGTATACCAAGTTCCATATTCTCAACCATCACCTTATGCTGCTTCTGCATCAAACAACTAGAATGACAAAAACACCCAGGGTATTTTTTAAATGTGCAGTTGGAAAAGTTTTGTGTAACTTATAAAATCACCAATAAAATCCACTGTTAATGTGGGTAGAAAGTAATGTGTTGTTCCCCAGCTCTCTGCAAGTCCCTGGGCAGAAGCTTGTATTCTTGGACCAGCATCCTGAAGCTAGAGCCCAGAATCACCCCATCTGGCTGTGGAAGCCTGAGAAGACCTGGAGCTGCATGGATGAGAATACCACTCATTATAGCCTTTTGCTCTGGGACACTATGGAGTCTTGAAAACACTTATTATTCAGGCTTCATAGAAGCCCCTCATTCAGACCAATTGAAATGCCTGAAACTCCGTCTCTAGGCTACCTTGTAGGTTTTGAACCATGCAGCATGCAGAAAGAGAAGCATTCTCTGGCCGACCTCCCTGAAGAAACCTCAAGTGGCCCAGCATTACAAAGCTAGCAGGAGAAGCCAATAGGGTCTGAGGGGTGGGAAGGTAGGAGGACTTCAGCAAGATGGAGTTACCTTAACATTGACTATGCTGGGCATTTTCCAGCAGGATTCTAATCTATGGCTTTGTGAAACCCTCTCTGTCTCTTTCTCTCTCCCTCCCTCCCATATATATATATATCACATTTCTTTCCCTCTTTCCCTCCCTCTGTTTCTCTTTCCCCAAGAAGGCTCAGCACTTTTTCCTCTTGTTTTATTACTCTGGAATTAGCAGTTGTTAAATGACTCTTTCAGAGATTACTTTAGATTTCAGGGATTATTTTGAGACCGACCAATCTGGTGGCTAATGTCTGGGTACCTTCGTGCTCTCTGCATTGCTTAGATCTGGTAGGCATGGGAGCTCCCATCCAGTTTTTCTTCTCAGAAGTGGTGAAACTAGAAAGTATTTTTGACCCACACTCCTCACTTTCAGACCTTGAGCACTGGGACTAGAAGAGAGGACTAGCTGCATAAACTTCAGAGTCCTTTCTTAGGAGTGCCTAGGGATTTCAAGGTATCTGCAAAGCACCAGACTGTATTGAGCACAACTTAAGTATGTTAAAGTAGGAAGTATTATGTGCAGAAGCAGACTTGAGAGAAGCTGTTTCTGAGCTATAGAGACTGTGGGCTAGACCAAAGAAAAGCGAATTCCACACAGTGGTACTGAGGGGTGAACAAGCATCAATAGATGAGCTTTAAGCAGCAAAAAGTAATCATAAAGGGTCATAGGCTGGCTTTGCAGGGATTCTGTATGACCAAGTTTTGGATAAGGCGATGACATCCTTTTATTGCTGTTTCTTTCTTTCTTTTGTCTTCTTTCCTTCTTTCTTTCTTTCTTTTTAACAAATTGCTCTTCCCAGGGATACACTTGAGCTTGCCCACACCCATGAACCCCAAATATGTCCATCTTATCTCAACTCTGGACTTAGTGGCCTGGTGGTGATAGCTTTAAATGTGTCATGATCAGGGGATTTTAAACAATGAAGATGCAAGGGCTGCATATCAGAGGAGAGACCCTACGGCATCCTACCCTGAGAACTTTTTAAACATATGTACTACAAAAAATAAGCTTTTTCTAAGTTTATGTTTTAAGACAGTGAATTCCTATTTCAAACAAGAACGTTTCCACCATCCTTCCCCTAATGATGATAGGTCTCACACACTTCCGGGAGAGATATAAGCATTGTGCTTCCCTCTTCCTACTCTATTTCATTGTTATGGTAAGACACCTGAAGAATGTATAAGGTCAATGGAATTCCTTCAAATTCAAAGGTTGAAAATGTGTTTTAGCTACCTCCCTCCCAACCCCTCACACAATCAGAGCGATCATAATGTCTTCAGTGGAGAAGAAGTACAGTATAGATGAGACCATCAGGTGGAAATTTCAGAACAGCAGGGCACCTATCACAAAGAGTAGCCTCCAACAGTAAGGTTGGGTGCAGTGTTAGACTTTACAATGGCAGAAAGTGAGCTACAGAGGCAAGCATGTTGGGGTAGACTAACAGAGCTCAGGTTTCAACATATCCTTTGTCAAATATTTAATATTTCCATTATTAAGGGTAAAGTTTAAGGAACGGAGGAAGCAGAGGAATCAGTAACTGAGGAGGATTCCAGGACTATGCAAAAAAAAAAAAAAAAAAAAAAAAAAACCTGTAGAATAAACAAAATTCAAGGGATGACCCCAGACTGAAACTTGTCTAACCCAAGACCTCATTACAAGCCACTTGGCATTAGATGAGACCACTGGAGAGTGCACACCATGCACCAAGCTGCAGGTTTAACAGTAACTAAAAGGACCATAATTAAAAAGCAATTTGTTCGACATGTAAAATAATAAATTAAATTAAAAAACGCTTTGACTCCAAAATTTAAGTTCAAGGACAAGTTACTGGGGAAAAGGATTTCTGTTTTTGTTTCCACAGAAAATGAAAAGATGTGGATTCCTTCCAGACTAATGTGGTTTGATCAACCCAGACCGCCTGAAACAGAGTACCAGGTGATCCTACATTCAAAACAGCTGGACAAAGCAGCCTTACAGACTACAGCCAGGATTTCTGCATCTTCTTAGAATCCCCCATGACAGGGCCCCTTACCAGCAGGAAGTAGTTTGG